AACAGAGAATCTCGGACAAGGTGCTTCTGACTCGGTAGCTCTGACGCCACAAAGAGGTGGCGAAAACGAGCTCATTTTTGCAAAGATCCCTTATGATCCCACGACTTGGACAAGGAAAGATTCCTTTAAAACACTCGGCAAACGAGGTCCGACCACTTGTGTGCTTAATGGTTGAAGAGAAAATGGTGCACGACAGAGTGAGAAAGGGAAAAGATGAAATGCAATCGGTGAAAGCAGCTTTTGTGTACAAACTGAGCACCTGGTTCCGTGTGGACCGCCAACAGTGCGTGAGCCAACTGTTCCGTGCGCTCGTAGTATTGGCAGATGGTCTCATGAGGAGACACCAAAATGGTGGACGTCTCGACGGCGGACGACGGAAGGCCTGCGTCGCGGACACGAGGCACGACGGCATAAGAAGAGGACAATGATGTGGCAACGGAGGCAGAGAAGGTGCCCACAGGTCGGTAGTTCGTGTCTACCGGATAGCCGTGAGAGCAGAGCTCGGCCGGCGTCAGAAAGTTGGGTCTCCGGCCGGTGTACCAAGCGAGCCATTCGAAGAGGGCCGGCTCCACGCGAATCTGACAACCGGGCTGGATGGGCAAATCAGCGGCAGAAAGAGCGAACCAAGTGGAAAACAAAGTAGACCTGATCCACCGTTCTTGCAAGTTTACAATCAAGTTTGCCCGGCCCTAGACGCCGAAAGGCAATGTTCGAGACTCCGTAGCCACGGGGACACATGACTGCAAGGCCCTACCATTAAATTATGCAATTCTACAATAACGTAATGTTATAAAGTTTCGGCCAACTTATGAGGGTCTTAAAGAAACATTTTGCTAGAACCTTATAGGTAAGAGATATAGAAGGCCAAATAGGGAAAAAAGGGTACAGTTTTTATATTGCTTGCTGCCGGCCACATTTTTTAGCGTACCTGGCAACAGCTTGGCGATCTGCTGAATTCCGATAAAGTATATTTATTTAAATTATAATATATAGGGACTTTATATGGACCGTTTCATCTTATATGTAAAGAAAGTTTTCGGGCGCATTAATATAGATAATTTTATAAACAGAATCTAGGCCAATCCGTTATTTGCAGAAACAAGCATCGATTTTAGAAACCAAACCTGACTACCTCATAGCGAGTCGCAACGACAAAAATGATAATCACAAATAGACGCATATCAGTATAAGTATACAGCAAGAGTTTTTTCAGTGTTTCTTGGTTGGCTAAGCCCTCATATTAGCCAAAATCGCCTGTCTCTACCCATTGTACTACCTAAAATACGTTTACTGGG